CTCAAACCACACCCCTGGGGGCCGCAAAACGGCGGCGGCCGCAGCTGGCGGCGGGCCCGAGGCGGGAGAAGTGAGAAGACGTGGGAGGGGAGTCCTCCCGAGGCCCCCCGTGCCGAGAGCTCTCGACCTCCGCCTCCCCTCCTCTCGCCCGCTCTTTCCTCATTCCTCCGCCGTCCTCCGCCGTCCTCCGCCGTCCTCCGCCGTCCTCCTCCTCCTCCTCCTCCTCCTCCTCCTCATCCTCCTCCTCCTCCTCCGCCTACCACTTACCTCGATTGTGGGCCAGAGGCCGATTGGATACATGTCAGTTTCTTGTGGGATGCCTCTCGGGCGCCTTCTGGAAGCTACTTCGAAGTCTTTCGGGGCCTCTTTTGGGCCTCCTGCAGGCGTCTTGAAGCCGTTTGGGGGCCTCCTGGCGGTCTCGCGGACCATCTTGGGTGGGAAGGCTCGAAATAGCACTTCGCATTCCCACTCTTGGGCCTAATTTGGATCCCTCTTGAGGCTCTCTCGGGCCGCCTTGGGGCCCTCTTGGGCTATCTTCCGTATTGGGGGCATATTGAGCCGTCTTGGGGAAATCTTGGGGGCCTCTTGAGCCGTCGTGGACGCTGTTCAGACCAGCGAGACGAATATGTAAACAATGTGCTTTTCCGTAGGGATGAGGACGATGCTTGTTACTAGGGCCCCTCTTTAGGGTATTCTTGGGACCATCTCGGGGCGTCTTGGGGGCCTCTGGGGCCGTCTAGACCATACGGGGGGTCTTGGAACGCTCTTGAACCGTCTCGGAGGCCTCTTGGACCGTTCGGGGAGCGCCTTCGGGCCCTCCGAAAGTTTCCCGAAGGCCCCCCCCTGCGGGCCCCGGACAGCTAGGGACACAGCGAGTACCAGGGGGGGGGGCTGTGGAAAAGTGGGCTGCCTCCGGGCCCCAGGGCCCTGCCGAGTATATGAAGATATACATACGCATATACACATGTGAGCAGACAGATCCATACCTGCAGATATACATGTGTAAATAGACACACACACATGTATGACATTTTAATACACCAGCACCCCTATACATGCATGTGTGCATGTGTAGATGCATATACGCCTGAAAACACACACAGATATATATATATATATATATACCTATGTGTGTGTGTAATGCAACACTTATGTATAAACAAGATGTACCAAACATATTCTACACGTATACCGACTATGACCGTGACCGCTTGAATCCAAACTGATGTGTGCACAGATATGTAGTCACCTTGACCACTTCGCCAAGAACGCCGAGAGAGCCGTGAGATCTCGTCTGGACCTGCGTTGACCTGCACTCCGCCGTGTCTCCCAGGAGCCCACGAAAATCATAACAATTGCGTGATTCGCAATCCTCCGAAGGATACGTGAGATCTCGGCTGGACCCGCGTTGCCCTGCACCCCGCGATACCTCCCAGGAGCCCAAGAAAGTGGCGATCGTTGCGCCAGTTCGCAGCCCCCGAGGGGGCTGCGAAGTTTCGAAGTGATCCCGCTGCCCTCGCCTCCGCCGTGCCTCACAGACGCCTACAAAAGTGACGATCCTAAGAAAGTGGCAACGGTTGCGCAGCTCGCAACCGCCCGAGGAGCAGCGAGGTCTCGGCTGGAACCGCGTGTCCCCCGACTCCGCTGGACCTCCCCGGAGCCGACGAGCGAAAACTGCCAAGTTCGCAGCCGCCCAGGGAGCAACGGGGTCTCGGCTGGATCTGCGTGTCCCCGCACTCCGCTGGACCTCCTCGGGGCCCACGAAAGTGGCGACAATTGCGCAGCTCGCAGCCGCCCAGGCAGCAGCGAGGTGTCGGCTGGACCTGCGTGCCACCCCACTCCGCTGGACCTTCCTGGTGCCCACGAAGGTGGCGACGGTTGTGCAATTCGCAGTCCCCGAGGAGAGCGCACGGGAGGTAGGAGGAGGTGGGAGAAGGGAGGACTGATGACCACAGTGCTCTGTTCAAAACGAGAACCCATCCCAGCAGAGTTGGGAATCAAACAAACAGGTTGGACGCCAAGGCTGTCTGGAGCGATGTATCTTCATTCTGGGCCTGCCTGACACCAGCTCGACATCTTCCTCGGGCCTTCCGGGGACGCAACCGAGACACGAGCCAATTTCGCCACCGCGCGCCCAAGATGATACACGTCAGATCGCCAGCCAACCAGGAGAAGAAGGGCGAGAATGAACAGAACCGTGTGCTCGTGGCCAGCTGAAATATAGCCAGGCATGGAGGCGGATGAGGAGGGGGGGGGGAGGAGGAGAGGAGGAGGAGGAGGAGGAGGAGGAGGAGGAGGAGGAGGAGGAGGAGGAGGAGGAGGGGGCAGATAGGGATGAGGACTGCGACGGGGATGTGCGTGGGTACGGTGGGCATTTGCATGGGGCTGTGGTGAGGGAGCAGGGGGAAGAAACAGGGATAATGATGAGGATGATGGTGATAATGGTGGTGATGATGATGGTGGTGGTGATGGTGATGATGCTGTTGATGATGTTGCTGATGATGACGATGGTGATGATGATGATGCTGATGGCGATGACCATACTGGTGATGCTGATGGTGATGAGGTTGATGACGATGATGCCACTGGTAATGAGTATGATGATGATACTGATGTTGTCCATGCTGATGATGTTGCTGATGATGCTGATGGCGATGCTGAGTTTGAGTGTGATGGCGATGAGTATGATGCGTATGCTTATGATGATGACGACTGTGATGATAATGGTAATGCTGATTATTTTGATGCTGATGGTGTTGTTGATGATGATGGTGCTGATGGTGATGCGGAACGTACATGGTGATTGAGATGCTGCTGCTGGTGATGATGCTGATGATGACGGTGACGAGGCTGATGATGACGGTGGTAATGCTGATAACGATGGTGATGATGGTGCAGTTAATGATGATGAGGATGAGGATGATAATGATGGTGATGATGATGATGATGATGATGATGATGAAGCTGATGAAGATGAAGATGATGATGTTGCTGATGGTGGCGATGTCGACGACGACGATACTGATGACGAGGATGATGCGGATGATTATGATGCTGATGCTGCGGCAAATGATGACGACGAGGACGAGGCTGAAGAGAAGGATGAGGATGCTGATGAGGATGATGATGAGGATGATAATGGTGATGATGGCGATGATGATGGTGGTCGTGACAATGGAGAGGGAGGGAATGCGATGAGGGAGGGCACTGGAGAGAAGAGGAAGGGGAGAGAGGAGGAGGAGGAAGAGGAGGAGGAGGCGGAGGAGGCGGAGGAGAAGGACGGGGAGGAGGAGGAGGCGGAGGAGGAGGAGGAGGAGGAGGCGGGGGAGGAGAGGAGGAGGAGAAGGAGGAGGAGGAGGAGGAGGAGGAGGAGGAGGAGGAAGACGAGGAGGAGGAGGAGGACGAGGAGGAGTGAAAGGTCGAGAATGAGGAGGGGGAGGAGGCAACGAATAACATGGTGTCCATAATCCGCAGCGGGACTACGGGCGCGAGGGCGGGGCCGGCTCACCGAGGGCGGGGCGAGTCGTCGCCGTCGCGGAGTGCTCGAAGTATGGAGCCCCGTGCGTCGAGGTAGAGCGATGGGGGTTTGCGGACCTCCGCGCTGCTGTCGGGGAGACGTAAGACTCGGGTACGGGGGACTCGGGTTGGCCTGACGGGGCCACCATAAAAATGACGAGACCCGATCTGAAATTTGACGCGAGCTCCCGCTGCAGACATCCCACGAAAACTGGACCGTCAAAATCCAGGACGCGCTCGCCAAAAAATGACGGCAAACCCGAGCTCCGGCTTACTCGAGTCTTACGCTTCCCCGATGCTGGGGGTGGTCCCGGAGGACGCGGCCGGGCAGCGAAGCCATGCTTTGTAGGGAATGCCGTCGGGCCCTGGGGGCGAAGCTGCAGCGTGTTGTGCAAAATGCCGCATCGCGCCGTACAGTCGGGGCGTTGACCTAAGGAACCCTAAATAAGGAACGAGGCCCCTCTTTTTCAGAAGTTAAACTTCGATTTCCTACCCAAAACATAAGGAAAACCTGAGGCAAGCTGTGAAACACTTAAGGAACGCGGGGCCCCTCCCCAACCAAAAGGGTTCCTTCTTCAGGGCCCCGACTGTATGTGGGCAGATCCGCCGTGCAGGGCAGTATGGGAGGGACGTGTTTGTCGAGAACTGCCTCGATCGCAGGGATCAAAGGGGCGCTGGCGCTGAAGACTGGTGCCCATTCTCGATGAATGGAGCGTTGCATCGCTGTGGCCACTCGCGCGCCCGGCAAGGAGGAGGAGCTCTCTCCTTTTTCCCAGGCCCGCGCCTTCCAGGTGGGAGCGGTATGGGCGAGGGCGAAGGGAGGGGGGAGGGACTCCCCGTCCCCCACTCCCCTTCACAACTCCACCCCTTTCCGTCTTCGTCGCCTCACGCCTTCCGCCACCCAGCCCCCCACTCCTTTCTCCCCGCTCCCTGGGGGACGGAGAGGAGAACGCAAGGATCCGACGCAAAATGGAAGGGAGAAGGGAAATGATGGGACGGCGCCCCAACTTGCTCGAGGCAGAAGGGGAGGGGGAGGGTGGCTTGGGCACGAAACCTTGCTCAAAGATCACGAGGGAACGCACCAAAGCACCAATGTCGGCGTGCCCAGGGGGGGAAGTGAGAGAGAGCAAGCCTTCTCAGAAGGCGGCGGGGCTTTTCACAAGCCCTCCAGCCTTCTGAGAAGCCCACTGCGGCTCCGGAGAAGGCCTAGGAAAGCTTCACAAGACGACCTCCAGCCTTCTGAGCCTTCTGAGAAGGCCTGCCCCCTCTGCCTTCACCCCTGGGTGCGCCGCGGGACACTGGCCACAAGAGAGGGAGGAGGAGCAGAAGGAAGAGGAGGAGAAGCACGCGGAGGAGGAGGAGGAGGATAATATGAGGAGGAGAGGAGGAGGAGGAGGAGGAGGAGGAGGAGAGGAGGAGGAGGAGGAGGAGGAGGGAGGAGGAGGACGGAGGAGGACGACGACGACGAGGAGGAGCAACGGCTCCTCGGCACCGCGGCGGCCCTGGTCCACAAACGGCGCGGGATCGTGCCGCAGGCACGTGGCACCTCACAGGGCGCAGCGCAGGGGGCGCTCCGCCCCCGACCCTGCCAGGACCTCCGGCTCGGTTGGTCGACGTTGCTCCGCGGTCTCTCCTCCTCCTCCTCCTCCTCCTCCTCCTCCTCTTCCTCCTCCTTCTCCTCCTCCTCCTCCTCCTCCTCCTCCTCCTCCTCCTCCTGTCCTCCTTATCCTCCTCGTCCTCCTCCTCCTCCTCCTCCTCCTCCTCCTCCTCCTCCCTCCCCGCCTCCTCCTCCTCCTCCTCCTCCTCCTCCTCCTCCTCCTCCTCCCTCCTCCTCCTCCTCCTCCTCCTCCTCCTCCTCCTATCCTCCTTGTCCTCCTTGTCCTCCTCCTCCTCCTCCTCCTCCTCCTCCTCCTCAAGAGGAGGCAGCAGGGGGAATGAAGGAATGAGAAGGGTTGTATGGGGGGGCAGACAGGGGTGTGGGGTCCGAAAGCTCCAGGGGTTTGGGGTGTCCACCTTATCCTCCTGCGCTGAACTACACTTCCAAGGGCTCTGAAGGCGTGAGGTCCTAGAAGGCCTAGCCTCCTCGTCATTCTTCCTCCTCCTCCTCCTCCTCCTCCTCCTCCTCTCCTCCTCGTCCTCCTCGTGTTCCTCGACCTCCTCCTTGTCTTCTTCCTCCTCCTACTCCTCCTCACAAGATCAATCCAACTCTTCTTGCCTCTTTTCCTCCTAATTCTTGCGCCCCAATTTGAACAATGAGCCAGGCGGCCCCCCATCCGATGGCACGACGCAATGGGTCCGGAAACATGAACACGATTCGTGGAAGGAAAGATAGGGGGGGAGCCTAAATTCGCTCATCGTGGCTCGCGATCACGCGACGCGCGCTTATCTTCGCGCCCTCGCGCCGCCACGGTGGACTTCGCAGCACACCGCATGGCACTGCGGTGGACTCCGCAAGACACCCTGGCAGACACACCAGTGGACCGCCCGCCGGAGGAGGAAGAGCAGCAAAATCGAAACAGTTTAGCCGCAGGCACTTAACATAAGCCGCCACCGCACACAACTCCGCATGCATGTCATACGCGACATTTGAACTCGCACTCGTCTCATATTCTCTGTTACGGGCCCAAGACCTGGTTATGACCTGCTATGCATGCAGGCTGCGAGAACAAGAGAAGGGACGGCTGACACGGACGGTAGGACCTTTCACGCGAATGATCCCACGAGCCAGCATTATCAGGTCAACGAATCCCTCCGAGCGACAAGAGAAGCGCCTGGACAAAGTAGTTCGCGAGCGCTATGAGCGACATCCGCCCAACATGGCATGTAATTGCACGACCAGCGGGATGGGCGGCACAAGTAATCGAATATTGGAGAGAGATCAAAGAATACAGTCAGAGAAGGGACAGAAAAACAATTCCCGACGAGCATGAGCCCCTTCCGCCAGCCAAGATGCCCCAAAAAATCAGGACGTCGAGAGTGACATTCCGATGAGCCACCCGATCGTAAGTGTCTTGCCTTACCTGGGAAAACCTTGGTGGGCAGGTTACCCCACGAAATGGACATCTGCCGAAGTGCATTAGGGTACTCTTCTCTAGAAACAGAAAATGTAAGTCATCGTGGGCCCCAAATAATACGTTGTTGCTCAGTGGAGGTGATAGTTATTTGGTTTAAGCTACGTGGTGAAATATGCCATTCTTAGCTATGTGGTGTGAGATGTGGAGGTGCAACAAATTATGCGGAGCAGAATATGTGGCGCAAGCTGTGTATGAGGGGACCCTGGGACACACAAATAAATGCACACAAATCCGAGGAACCCCTATATTTTCCAATATTTGTCTGGGTGTTCGTCTTCCCCTCCCACTTCCCATATGTTCTCATATTTTCTGGGGAATCGACGATTAATTGTGCCTGTGTGTTTTTCCCCATATCCTAAGGATTGGGGTTCTTGTTATTACTCTGACGCCTCCCACTCCTCCTCCTCCTCCTCCTTCCTCCCGCTCGCGCCTCCCTCCTCCCAATGATAATCACCAGATAAGACAAGCCAAGATAAGATACTACAAGATAAGATAAGATAGCACAAGATATGATAAGAAGAGATTTCAAGATAAGATAAGATAAGTTAAGCTCACACTCACACTCTCCCATGATCACAAAACGCTGCCAGGGGCATCATTGGGAGCCCCAAGGGGGAGCCACCCTGGCTGATCTCACGAGCCCGTTCGCGCCGATTTTGGTGGGACGTCTCAGCTAGAATTGCCGTTTGGCGCCCCCAACATGTATCTCTTGAGAGCCTCATGGTCACAAAACGCTGCCAGGGGCATCATTTGGGAGCCCCAAGGGGGAGCCACCCTGGCTGATCTCACGAGCCCGTTCGCGCCGATTTTGGTGGGACGTCTCAGCTAGAATTGCCGTTTGGCGCCCCCAACATGTCTCTCTTGAGAGCCTCATGGTCACAAAACGCTGCCAGGGGCATCATTTGGGAGCCCCAAGGGGGAGCCACCCTGGCTGATCTCACGAGCCCGTTCGCGCCGATTTTGGTGGGACGTCTCAGCTAGAATTGCCGTTTGGCGCCCCCAACATGTCTCTCTTGAGAGCCTCATGGTCACAAAACGCTGCCAGGGGCATCATTTGGGAGCCCCAAGGGGGAGCCACCCTGGCTGATCTCACGAGCCCGTTCGCGCCGATTTGGTGGGACGTCTCAGCTAGAATTGCCGTTTGGCGCCCCCAACATGTCTCTCTTGAGAGCCTCATGGTCGCAAAACGCTGCCAGGGGCATCATTTGGGAGCCCCAAGGGGGAGCCACCCTGGCTGATCTCACGAGCCCGTTCGCGCCGATTTTGGTGGGACGTCTCAGCTAGAATTGCCGTTTGGCGCCCCCAACATGTATCTCTTGAGAGCCTCATGGTCACAAAACGCTGCCAGGGGCATCATTTGGGAGCCCCAAGGGGGAGCCACCCTGGCTGATCTCACGAGCCCGTTCGCGCCGATTTTGGTGGGACGCCTCAGCTAGAATTGCCGTTTGGCCTCCCCAACATGTATCTCTTGAGAGCCTCATGGTCACAAAACGCTGCCAGGGGCATCATTTGGGAGCCCCAAGGGGGAGCCACCCTGGCTGATCTCACGAGCCCGTGACGAGAGAGAGAGAGAGAGAGCAAGAGAGAGAGAGAGAGAGGAGAGAGAGAGAGGGAGAGAGAGAGAGAAGAGAGAGAGAGGAGAGAGAGAGAGAGGGGGAGTTGAGAGAGGAGACAGGCGAGAGAAGGCGAGAAGAGAGAAGAGAGAGGAGAAGAGAGAGAGGAAGAGAGAAGAGAGAGAGAGAGAGAGAGATAGAGATAGAAGAGAGAGAGAGAGAAGAGAGAGAGAGAGAGAGGAGAGAGAGAGAGAGAGAGAAAGTGGAGAGAGAGGGGGGGAGAGAGAGAGAGAGAGAGAGAGAGAGAGAGAGAGAGAGAGAGAGAGAGAGAGAGAGAGAGAGAGAGAGAGAGAGGGAGAGAGCGAGAGAGAGAGAGAGCAGAAAGAGAGAGAGAGAGAGAGAGAGAGCGGGAGAGAGCGAGGGAGAGCGAGAGAGAGCGAGAGAGAGCGAGTGAGAGCGAGAGAGAGAGAGAGAGCGAGAGAGAGCGACAGAGAGCGAGAGAGAGCAAGAGAGAGCGAGAGAGCGAAAGAGAGAGAGAGAGAAGAGAGAAAGAGAGAGAGAGAGAGATAGAGAGAAAGAGAGAGAGAGAGAGAAATAGAGAGAGAGAGAAGAAGAGAAGAGAAGATAAGAGAGAGAGCGAGAGAGAGAGAGAGGGAGAGTGAGAGAGAGAGGAGAGAGCAGAGAGAGAATAGAGAGAAGAGAGAGAGGAGAGAGAGAGAGAGAGAGAGGCAGAGATAGAGGCAGAGAGAGAGAGGCACAGAGAGAGAGGCAGAGAGAGAGAGAGGCAGAGAGAGAGAGGCAGAGAGAGAGGCAGAGAGAGAGAGAGAGGCAGGGAAAGAGAGGCAGAGACAGAGAGAGGGCAGAGAGAGAGAGAGACAGAGAGAGCAGAGAGAGCAGAGAGAGAGGCAGCTCAGTCACACTTAAATCCAGATTCGTCCTCACCGAGTCCCACCACCAAGGGAGCGCCAGCAAGGAGATGCACATATGGGGATCCCCACGCAGTGAATAATTGTTCCGCTCCCGAGTGTAGTGTAAGCTATGCAGTGTGAGCTGGAGGTGTAAGCTGTGATGTGCAAGCTATAATGTGTAAGCTACGTGATGTAGCCTATGCTGTGCAAGCTATGCGGTGTCAGCTATGTGGCGTAAGCAATGTGGTGGAATCTATGTCGTGCAAGCCGACGAGGCGCCCACAGGCCGGCACGAGCGGCAACGTCGCGAACATCTGGCATACCCAGCGAGCGCGGGGCGCCAACGAGGCGCGCGGGGCGCCCACGAGGCGGCACGGGCGGCAACTTGGAGCCGGCACGGGCGGAGACATTGACATGCCCCCAAAGCACCCTGCGCCCACGACGCGCCCATGAGGCGCCGACGGGCGGGCAGCAGCCGAGGCCCCAACACCCATCTCAAGCGCGGGGCGCCCACGAGGCGCCCACGGGCGCCCAGCAACCGGGCACACGCCGACACCCCGACACACCCATCCAATTCCTTGAGCAAGCACAACGAGAACACCTAAATGTAAACACTGTTGAGGGAACAACGTAAGCATACACGTCGTTCAGTTCGAATCGTGCCCATTCCTAATTTTGATCGTTTCGAATTGTTCCTGGCCCTAACCGGGTTAATGGCCAGGAAGAGGCCCATGATAGAACAATTACGCTACCGAGGAACCCCACATACTTAGATTCTGGCTGGGGTGATGATAGCTGAAGTGAAGCATGTGAGAATGATGTTGGTGGCCGTTGCCCCGCCGATACCGCAAGGACGACCGTCACGGATAGCGGCCGCGCTCAGGGACCACCCCGTGCGCACCCCCTGTGGTGTCGAGAAAACGCCACGCCTGCTGTGCCCTGGACGACGGTCACGGATAGCAGCCGGGCTCAGGCACCACCCCGTGCGCACCCCCTGTGGTGTCGAGAAAACCCCACGCCTGCTGTGCCGTGCCCTGGACGACCGTCACGCATAGCGCCGCGCTCAGGCACCACCCCGTGCTCACCCCCTGTGGTGTCGAGAAAACGCCACGCCTGCTAATGCAAGGACGACCGTTCTGGATAGCGGCCGCGCTCAGGGACCACCCCGTGCGCACCCCGTGCGGTGTCGAGGATATGCCACGCCTGCTGTGACCTGGACGACCGTCAAAGGATAACGGCCGCGCCCAGGGACCACCCCGTGCGAAACGCCACGCCTGCCGTGTCCTGGACGACCGTCACGGATAGCGGCCACCCCGTGCGCACCCCCTGTGGTGTCGAGAAAACGCCACGCCTGCTGTGCCCTGGACGACCGTCACGGATTGCGGCCGCGCTCAGGGACCACCCCGTGCGCACCCCCGGTGGTGTCGAGGAAACGCCACGCCTGCTAGGGCAAAGACGACCGTCACGGATAGCGGCCGCGCTCAGGGACCACCCCGTGCGCACCCCCTGTGGTGTCGAGAAAACACCACGCCTGCCGTGCCCTGGATGACCGTCACGGACAGCGGCCGCGCTCAGGGACCACCCCCTGCGCACCCCCTGTGGTGTCGAGAAAACGCCACGCCTGCCGTGCCCTGGACGGCCGTCACGGACAGCGGCCGCGCTCAGGGACCACCCTCTGCGCACCCCCTGTGGTGTCGAGAAAACGCCACGCCTGCTGTGCCCTCGACGACCGTCACGGATAGCGGCCGCGCTCAGGGACCACCCCGTGCGCACCCCCTGTGGTGTCGAGAAAACGCCACGCCTGCCGTGCCCTGGACAACCGTTACGGATAGCGGCCGCGCTCAGGGACCACCCCGTGCGCACCCCCTGAACGCCACGCCTGCTGTGCCCTGGACGACCGTTTTGGGTAGCGGCCGCGCTCAGGGACCACCCCGTGCGCACCCCCTGCGGTGTCGAGAATATGCCACGCCTGCAGGGGCAAGGACGACCGTTACGGATAGCGGCCGCGCTCAGGGACCTCCTGTGCGCACCCCCTTGTGGTGTCGAGAAAACGCCACGCCCGCCGTGTCCTGGACGACCGTCACGGATAGCGCTCAGGGACCACCCCGTGCGCACCCCCTGTGGTGTCGAGAATCTGCCACGCCTGCTAGGGCAAGGACGACCGTCACGGATAGCGGCCGCGCTCAGGGACCACCCCCTGCGCACCCCCTGTGGTGTCGAGAAAACGCCACGCCTGCTGTGCCCTGGACGACCGTCACGGATAGCGGCCGCGCTCAGGGACCACCCCGTGCGCACCCCCTGTGGTGTCGAGAATATGCCACGCCTGCTGTGCCCTGGACGACCGTCACGGATAGCGGCCGCGCTCAGGGACCACCGCATGCGCACCCCTTGTGGTGTCGAGAAAACGCCACGCCTGCTGTGCCGTGCCCTGGACGACCGTCACGCGTAGCGGCCGCCCTCAGGGACCACCCCGTGCGCACCCCCGGTGGTGTCGAGAAAAAGCCACGCCTGCTATGCCCTGGACGACCGTCACGGATAGAGGCCAGGGACCACCCCCTGCACAACCCCTATGGTGTCGACAAAACCCCACGCCTGCTGTGCCCTGGACGACCGTCGTGTTGTGCTGTGCTGTGCTGAGCTGTGCTGTGCGGAGGTGCTATGCTGTGCTGTGCAGTGCTGTGCCGAGCTGTGCTGTGCTGAGCTGAGCTGTGCTGTGCTGTGCGGCGTGTGCCTCATGTGAGTGCCCAGTGTGTACGCATACGTCGTGTGTGTGTGTGTGTTGTGTGTGTCTCTGTGTGCTGAGGAGAGGGAGGAGAGGGAGGCGGGTGAGGAAGACGCGGGTGCGACGCGGCAGAGAAGAAAACCAGAACCCCACGAAACGTGTGGGGAAGAATGCCAGAACCCCACGAAGCATGTGGGGAAGGAGAAGGAGGAGGAGGAGGTGAGGTGAGTGAGGGTCGCGGGTGCGACGCGGCAGAGAAGAAAACCAGAACCCCACGAAGCATGTGGGGAATTCGAAATGAAAGGATCTTGCCCCCCCCAAAAAAAATCAAAGAACTTTCGAAGAACTAGAGCTGAACAATGTGTATCTTTCGGAGCTCCGGGCGGATTTCTTGAACCAGCGCTGGGCCCCCCTTCCCTGGCGCGCGGAGCACGCCAGGCGCGGCGCTGGAGGCGCATCTCGGGGGAGGCCAGCGCCGATCCAAGCAATCCGCGCGGAGCTCCGAAAATGTATGTGGACAATGCTGTTTCTCCCTCGGCTCTCAAGCACATATGCCCTTGCTCGATCTATCCTCGATTCTTCCTCGACTCCTCTCCAACTGCAGCGCGACGAGCGTGAGCATCGGCCACGTGGGCCACGCGCGAGCACCGGGCGTCGGCGTGCCGCCAGTGATGGGCCACGTGAGCACCAGGCAGCTGCTGTTGTGGTGCTGCACGCCGGTGCACGCGGCCGTCCGTGCACACCGCGCCTGGCCGAGGCCGCGGCTTTCCGCTGCAGCCGTCGTGCTGCCAGACGGAGGAACGAGGGAGGAGGAGGAGGAGGAGGAGGAGGAGGAGGAGGAGGAGGAGGAGAAGGAGGAGGAGGAGGAGGAGGAGAAGGAGGAGGAGGAGGAGGGGGAGGGGGAGGGGGGAGGAGGAGAAGGAGGAGGAGGAGGAGGAGCAGAAGGAGGAGGAGGAGGAGAAGGAGGAGGAGGAGGAGGGGGAGGAGGGGGAGGAGGAGAAGGAGGAGGAGGAGGAGGAGGAGCGAGGGGGCTTTTCTGGACACGGCGAGCCTCAGCCGCAAATGTGCTCCACGACCTGACATCTGAGGAACGGCCTGAAAACCAGAGCCCCTCCTGAGCTCAAAATGTTTCACCGTCTTGACTGTGCAGCCGAGTGGGAGGCGCGACAGACGAGACAATTTCTGAAGAGCCGCACCTGCTCTGGACTCGGGATCGACAAAGGCTGGAGGTGCGGAAGCAGTTGCGGAGCCCACCCCGCGGCCTCGGACAAAAATCCCACCAGACCTTTAGTGCTGAGGTGGTCTAGCAGGTTTCTTTTTCCAACCCCCCTCTTCCCCTTCGGCGACAGGTTGTCACTGTCCGTTCTTAACAAACATCCCCTTCCCCACTCGACTTGGCGCCGGCCCGAAACCATGCCGACCCCAGCCCCACCATCCTGGACCCAAAAATGCCAAGTAAACCGTGCGACACAACAAATACTGGACCATGCCCGGGCTCCCCGCGATTACTTTGCATTGCTTTTGACAGGGACGGCGAAGGGTTGGCAATCTGCACGATGTGCGCAGACCCACCGTCCTTGTCAGAAACTCAGAAGAAGTAAGTACTGGTGTACATACTACCCAATGTCGAGCATGTGGAGCAGACCTGGCGCGGCCGGAGCAAGTGGCACACTTGGCGCATATGGAGCACGCGGCGCATCTGGCGCACCAGGCCCCATGGGGCGCCTGGCGCACCTGGTGCGCGTGGCGCGCTTGGCACGCATGGCGCACCTCTTGGGCGTTCGTTCACTGCTTGCGAAGTACTTGTTGGAGGCCCCTCTCCAGCGCCGGCCATCTTTGAACTTCGGTCGCGCCCGCCCAGACCGCGTCTCGCTCTCTCATACCAGCACATGTGCAAGATGTGTAGGTGTGTGGTATAAGGTGTGTGTGTGTGTTATGTGTGGTGTGTGGTGTACTGTGTGCGTGTGTGCGATGTGTTGATTATGTGTGGATTATGTGTGTTCTGCGTGTTAGGTGTGTTAGATGTGTTGTGCGTGTGCGTCGTGCGTGGGATGTTTGTTTTGAATGTGTGGTGTGTGATGCGTGCGTTGTGTATGTGGCACCCTCCGCTTCTTTGCTGGGCCTCGTGCCGGCCGTGCGACCTTTGGTGTCTCCGCCTGGCTTCCAGGCCCCATATCCATTCACCGGTTAGATACTGGTGTGCTGGATGCTGCCGCACTCCTGCGGCGCCCTGCCCCGCCCTCGCGGCTTGCGCCTCGTAGGGTCCTCAGGTCTCGGGGCCCGCCCCGCCCCGCTGGCCTCCCTGGCCCACGCCGCTCCCCCTCGTTGGCGTGGTCCTTTCTTTCCGCTTCTCGCCCGCTGGCCAGCGCTTGACGCGCGATCGCGCCGCGCTGTGCCCTCCGCTGCTCCGCCCTCTCGCCCCCCCCCGCTGCGCCTCGCAGGCTCCCCTGGTCTCGGCGCTCCTGCGCATCCGTGGGCCCACTCGCCCGCCACCTGCCGGCGCCCCCAGCTCCACGCCGCTCCCCAGTTTGGCGTGGCTCCGCCTCTCGGCCCCAATCCACCGCCCTCACGCTGGGCTGCGGCATCGCCGCTCGCGGCGCTCTCGTGGCTGCCTGCGCCCTGCATCTCGCCTCCCTTCCGCGCCTCGTAGGCCCCCAGATTTCGGCGCGTTGACTCATCTCTGGGACCGTCTGCACTACCTCGGGAGCGGCCAAGAGGGGGGTGTCCAAGAGGGGGGGGGGTGCAACTCATGACCGGCGGCATGTGCGCAGCCCAGCACGGGGGCCAGGGACGTAATGAAACGAGCAGGGCCCCCCAGCTGCTGCTCTTTTTTTGAATGCAACATTCATGCCCCTGAAAGTGATGAGTCCTTGCACAGACAGCCAGAGGCGCACTGAAGGCAAGGCATATTACCTGTAATTTATAATAGCGGGATGAATTCGTCGATATCGACCGAGACACCCTTCTTATCAGGGTGCTGTCCTTTACGGAGCCGTCTCAAGTTTCTGAAACCAGTCTCCGCCGGGGGCCCACACTTACGGGACAAACCAAGAACCTTTTCACCGCTAGAATAAAACTTGCACGTCATGCGCAAGAACAGGTGGCCACTGTCACTGCAAGGGAAGGCAATGACTCGGTGATCCAGTCTCTCCAACAGTCCCTGGTCCAAACGGGAATGCCCAGGGCACGGTCCTCCCAACGGCTTGGACTTCGAGCGGGAACCCCGAAGACACACACGATACCGCCAGGAGGAACCTTGTTGGGACCAGTCGTGGACGAGCTCTAAAACGGGAGCAACAGGGCCAGGCGGCGGAGGGATACGCGGCAGACCTTGAAACTCCAGCTTCGGCCAAAGTGGCAAGAGCTCCGCTCCCGCCAGCAAGATCGCCCTCGAAACCTTGATCTGATGGTCGAGAGCCTCCTGCTCTGTAGGAGTCATCTCAGGGTGCTGACTAGCACCCTCCTTGGCATAGACGTCAGCGTAGAAGTTCCCTCTTCGCAAGAATCTCTCATGCGCAGAGAGCCCTTCCTCGTCAACATCTTTGTGGGCCTCCACCTTAGCTAACGAGATAAGGTTGGGGCCGAAGTAATGCCTGGCCTGAATGATTTGACCAGCATACTGTCGCTTGGCACAGCGCCGCCGCTGGTCCACCCCCCCACGGCGCTCCCCTTGCCGCAGCCGGTGGCTTGCCTGCGCGAACCCGGAGTCCTTTCTCCCAGTCGCGCAGGGGCCTCCTCCTCCTCCTCCTTCTCCTCCTCCTCCTCCTCCTCCTCCTCCTCCTCCTCCCCCGTGCATCGCGGTATTAATTTACATACAGTGCGCCCCCTGTTGCCAGATCGCTGGAGCAGTCACCCTCTGCCCAGCCGCCGACGCAAAAAGTGTGTGAGTGGATGTGTGTGTGTGCGTTGTGTGGTTGGTGTGTGTGTGTTGTGTGTGGCGTGTGTGCGCGGGCGTGTTACGTCTGTATTTTGCCCGTTGGCCTCCTCCTCCTCCTCCTCCTCGTCATCATCATCATCATCATCATCAGCATCATCATCATCATCATCATCATCATCATCATCATCAGCATCATCATCATCATCGCCACCATCAGCATCATCATCGTCATCATCATCATGCTGATGATCAGCAACATCATCAGCATCATCAGCAGCATCATCTTTCCAACAGCCGCATCATCATCCTCCTCATCATCAGCAGCATAATGATCAACAGCCTCATCAGCTCATCAGCATAATAATCATCATCGTCATCATCATCCTCATCATCACCATCACCATCATCTCATAATCGTCCGCATCATCAGCATCACTATCATCATCAGCATCAGCATCAGCAACATCAGCAACATCATCAGCATCATCATCATCATCATCCTCAGCATCATTACCAGCAGCAGCATCGTCGTCATCACCACCATCATCATCAGACTCACCCTGTATCCTGCCCCATCCCTCCTCCCCCTCCTCCTCCTCCTCCTCCTCCTCCTCCTCCCTCCTCATCCTCCTCCTCCCTCCTCCTCCTCCTCCCGCCTCCTCCTCCTGGCCCTCCATCACCCCCTGTCCTTCTCCCCGCGCCTGGCAGTCGCCCAGCGTCGTCACATCCCCCTGGGGCGGGAAGGCGCCCTCCTCGCGGGGCCGCTTCTCGCGGGGCTTCGGGCGAGGACGGAGCCAAGGGGCCAACAGGGAGCGGGCGATACCTGAGCGACGAAACCAAACGAATCTCGCGCGAAATGGCACAGCGACCTCACGCGGTGACTTACGCGGGCCACCAGCGCCGCATGCTACAGTGAAGACGAAGGCATTCACACGCGACCTTACGCGGGCAATTTACGCGCCAATGACGGTGCAGTCGACCCACTTGTACAGTCGGTCACCTGAGTAAGCAGTCCTCCGTCTCCAGGGCCCAGGGGCGCCAAGATATCTGCCGAGGCTGCGGTAGCGGAAAGGCAAACTGCTCGACGCGGGGATCTCTACATGTACATCGTATCCTCTGGCACTTCCCCTCTGCCTGCTCTATCGCGGTGTCGCTTAGCGAAGAAACAAGGACCATCGCCACCGAGAACCCACCGGAGGGGAGAGGGGGGGGGGGCGACCCCTGGGCGGTGGCACGCCCCAGCGTCACTCAGCACAGGACGACGCTCGGGCGTGCCGCTGCCCAAAGGTCGGCACCTCCCGGTGGGTCCTCGGTGGCGGTGGTCCCTCCCTGCTTCTCCTCCTGAGCCATGGTGCTCGAATTGAAGGGGCGCTCGAGACACCCTCGGAATTTGCCATGAGAGCAGAGGAGCCGGAGTCGCGAAACGGGCGCCTCGTTCGAGACATCCCCGGAAGCTGGGCGCGAACGGGCGAGTGTCCCATCCCCTGGCGCCCCCCCCACTCGGGCCGCTCAAGCGAGCGCCTCGCTCATCCTCAGGATCGGACCTGAAAGCAAAAAAACAAAGGAGCCGCGAAACGAGCGCATCGCTCGAGAAATCCCCACAATCTGGGCGCGAACGGGGCGAGTGTCCTACCCTGGGGGCGGCCACCCCGTCGGATGCTAAAGCGAGCTCCTCGCTCGAGGCATCTGGGCAATCTGCTCTCCAAGCAAAGGAGTCGGAAGGCGAGAAACAAGCGCCTCGCTCAAGACATCCCCAGGATCTGGCCGCGAGCAGGCGAGTGTTCTACCCCCTGGCGGCTCCGTTTTGTGGTGTCCAAGTGTGATGCCTGCTACATCGCGGTGATCATGAGGAGCCTGAGGAGCGAGTACGAGTGGGTCTGCAGATCAGTGACAGGGTGTGGGCAAGTCTGAGTGTGAGTCTGAGTATGCGTGGGGCTGTGTGGGTGAATGCTCACACTGTGAGTGGTATACGTGTACGAGTTGGAGTATGACTTGGCTGGGCATGGCTGGATCTGAGTGTGAGATGTCTGTGCATGAGTGAGTCTGAGTATGAGTGAGCCTGGGTACCAGTGGATATGAGAGTGTGTGCCTGCGTGTGGGCGTGGTCCGGCGATGAGTCGTCTGAGCCTGGGTAAGTCTGATTATGAGTGAGCCTGCTTGTAACTGAGGAGGAGGAGGAGGGGGCTTTTGTGATGTTGTCTTCCAGAAACAAGCATACGGTGGCAACGTCCGCGTAGTTCCATCCTGTCCCCCATGGTTCCAGCGCCCCATGAACTGATGGGCCCATTTTCCACCACCGCAACCATAAGTAGGAGAGGGAGGAGGAGGAGGAGGAAGAGGAGGAGGAAGAGGAGGAGGAGGAGGAGGAGAACCTCCTCATCCTTCTCCCCCGTCCTACATATGGGTTGGAAACGTTGCCCCTCGTGAACGTCGTTCGACCTCGAAGCCGGTCACATGGAGCCACTCCGACGGGCCAGCGGGCGCCTCCTGCCAGCTGCAGGCCGCAAGGTCCAAGCAGTCTGCCATCAAAACAAGAACGCGTCTCAGAAGGGGCCCAGGGACACACAAATAAATACACACAAATAGCAGGATTCCCCATCTTTTCCCATAGTTTCTGGGTTTTTGTCTTCCCCCCCACTTCCCATGTTTCCCCATATTTTCGGAGGAATCGTCGATTAATTGTGTCTGTGTGTTTTTCCCCCTCCTGAAAAACGCTTCTCAGAAGCCGCAAAAGCTACCGGCAACGACTGAGCATCTTCTTAGGGTGGAGGGCTCAGGGTGAAATCCACATGGGCTTTCGCACCTCGGAAATCGATCCGTCGTGTGATTCGCCTTGTGCAGATCCAGACCTCGACAATCAATCGAAACGGCATTTCAGATTTCACCCTTTGCCCTCCACCCAAGGAAAATGCTCGGAACAAGTTCATTACATCCCAGGACACGGGGGAATTCTGGATCTGGATTGTCAAGGGCTGCATGTGTCCCCTGTATGGATCTGCGCGTATGCTCGAGCAGCCCACTGCCACAGCGGCTCAGGGCATGAACAGTTTGAAACATCTTCAGTGCTATACGAAAACAATTGCACACTGTAAGACGTAGATGGAATCCCACCAGCCCTCTGGGCGTAGGTGGCCTAACGTTGTTCCCCATTTCCAAAGCCCCTCTTCCATTCAGGGATGGGTACCCTCTCCCTCCCCTCCCTGATGGTTTTTGAGGGGCACGAGGGGTAGAGCGTCCAAGATGGCCCAAGATAGCTCCAAGAGGACGTCCGATGCTCCAAGATGACCTCGAAGGCGGCTTAAGATACACAATGGTTCAAGGTGCGTCCGACATACCCCAAAAAGGTCCGACGAGGGCCACAAGACGGCTCCCTTCCTCAGGACCCCCCTCCCAAGAGACCAACATCCTTCAACTGCCCAAGGAAATTCAATGATGCCTGCCTTTTTGCCATTCCACTTCCGATGCGCTTTTGAGGCCTCACGATTGCCCCAAGATGGCCCAAAACATATCCAAGAGTGGCCCAAGAGGCCACCCCAAACGGCCCCAGGAGCGCCAAAGATCGGCCGCCCAAAAGCGCCTCGAGAGCGCCCCGAGAGACGATGTTGATGGCCCCAGGTGGGAGGATGCAAATCGAGGACCCCACCTCCTTAGATCGATAGCCTACAAGACGGCCGGAAGAGGCCCTTCAGGGCTCCCAAGAAGGCCCCAAGAGGGCCCCAGGACGGCCCCAAGAGCGCCCAGAAGCGCCACACGAGGGCCACAAGAGGCGGTACGTCTCCTCATCCTCTTCCTGCTCCTCCTCCTCCTCCTCCTCTTCCTCCTCATCCTCCTCCGCCTCCTCTTCCTCCTCCCATCGCCCCTTCCCACGTGCCCCGGGGATGGCCCGATGAGGCCCTCCAAAACCAATCATCCTGGTTGTCCGCTTCGTTTCACATATGTGTCTCTTCCCGTCCCTCGTCCCGTCAACTCTCATCGGCAACATTTCTGCACGGGCTGGTGGGGATACGCGAAGCGTGATTGGCCGACAAATTTTTGAGGCCAGACCAGAACTCCTGCTCTGGTACTGCCGTTATTCGCACCGCAGCTCTAGCGATGATGCGGAGCAGGGTAACGGTTACGACAGCCATGACACGAACGAGAAGAGATAGCGACTGGATCATGGCGCTATACCATGCTCGATACATCCTCGAAAAAAGACCCAGTGCAACTCACGTTCGATCGATGCTGCGTTGCCATGCGCGGCCTTCCCGTCAATTGCATGCAACTTCGTATGGCGAACATCCGAGCAACATCAGAACACTGAACCCGATGTGGTGATACATACCCGTCGGTCGGAAGAAAGGGTAACACACATGAAGTAGGAACGCGTGCGAAGTATATTGAGTTTCGCCCGCCCCCTGAAGAGGAGAGATGAGGGAAAAGCGCTCAACTCTTGAAGTAGGAAGGCGCTTGAAGCAGATTGGAATCAGAATACACCAAATTACCGACTTCCAGCGACCGGCGAGTATGGGTGTGCGAGCACATCACCCTGGAAATGGCCACCAGTCTGTTGACTGGACCGGCTCGGTTCTTTACATGACCTCATGGCAGAAGCCAGGGAAGCAGGGCTGGCGCTTGCGACTGGGACCATGGTCTCCTTGGCCCTGTCCTCTTCGGGCTGCGTGCACATCTGAGCGCCAAGGCGAGAATGCGGAGAGATACTGAAAAAAAAATACCAATGCGGATCTGAACAAGAAACGGTGACAGCGGACCACTACACCGCGAACCATTGCCGATTCCTGATGGGAAGATGCTGGCTCCGATCCCTCCATGATGAATTTTACAACAAAGGTACACATTGTAGTCAGTACATGAAGCGATCAGAAGAAATTCGCACTGATGAGAACACAAATATAACCCCGCGACAAAGGAGAGAGCGCGCTTCACGGGCGCTTGCCTTGAGAACATTCGGCGGCGCGTTTCGAACCGGGGGGTGCGCTCCCCCCCAACACTCGGCGCCGTCGATCAGAACCATGGGGGATCTCCTCCCCCTACCACCTCCCCCCCTCCCGAGGCCCCCCCCTTCCCAAGGGGTGGGGGGTTCAAACCCACCCCCCCCTGGCGCTGGCGCCGGCGCCGGCGCCCGCGGCCGCCAGCAGCGCCGACGGCGGGGACGCAGCGACGATGACCAGAGGCAGCCCAGGAAAGGGGGGGGTCCAAACCCCCCCCCTTGCCCCCCCCCATCCGCGCAGGCGCTGGCGCCGGCGCTGGCGGCGGCCAGCAGCGCCGACGGCGGGGACGCAACGACGATTACCAGAGAGGGCCCAGAGGCCGCAGAGGGAACACGCAAATCGCAATATCGAGCCCTCGCCCCCCAGAAGCCACCGAGAGGCCCTTAGGAAGGTCCACGAGGCTTCACAAGCTCCTCAGACGCCCCCGAAACCCTTCAGACGAGACCTCAAGAGGCATCCATTAGAACTCAGACCCAAAGCCAGAACACTGCGGCGGGAAGAGCCGGAGGCCACACCACCACCACCACCACCACCACCACAACCACCACCTGTGATTGGCCGGGGCGCCAGGCATCAACGGATGATGATGCCGCTCGGCCCGGGCCAGATCGTTTTCTCAGCTCGGAGGTCCCTGAACTCCGGGCGTCTTGAGCCAACGTGGGTACGGCGCTTTGACCTCACCCCTCTCCGCATGACAGTGCACATGCTGCTGCACAACATCATGGGAGGATGCATGAGACGACGAGGCAGCCGGAGTCCAGCCACACTCGCCGCATCGCACGTCCTCGGGACCAGAACCGGGAGGCGGCCAGAATCCAGCCACACCCCTGGTTCCGAGATTCAGGACTGCTGCGCCATCGGACCTGTTATCACGTCGCGCAGCGGCGGGGCGACCACTTTTTGGGAAAATGGTCGCCGGGCGCAGTTTGTCCCAAAAAGTGGTCGCATCGTGTCGTCTCGTACCACGAATTGAGGAGGAAACTAATTACTTATCACATTTGGTATGTACATACGAGGCCTATTGAAAAAATGCATTGGTAATCATTTCGCCGCTTGGTGAGGTGATGAACGCCTCAGGTGCCAGACAGAAATTGCTGCAGCATCTGTGGCATCATTTCACACCCCCCTTGGCCCTGTCGCTCAGAACCTCCTCGGCCCGAGCTCAGGCCGCAGGCCGCAAGTGCGAGAAGACGAACATCTCATCGCGGGTTGCTGGCCCTCAGCGCTCGGCGGCGCGCCTCAGGCCGATGCGCACCCTCGCCTCGGCAAAGGGCGCGGGGTTGAGGGACTTGGTGAAGAAGTCGCCCTTGTGCGTGGCTGTCGCGTGGTACTCCACGTCGAGAGCGGCCTCTGGATCGTTGTAGATCTCGTGCATGGCCCCAATAGAGCACCTATGGGTTCGTGAAAGACACCGCAGACGCTTAGAATATCCTTTCTTGATGGCCTGTATCGCTTGCGTGTTATCGACACGGCAATCGACAGGAACGAGGGCGCATAGCATGTCCGAGATCAGCGTCTGCACCGGCAGAGCGCAATGCCGCACCGCCGAGCTCATGCTGACGGTCTCGGACTCGGCACTGCTACTGCTGGTCGCTGTTTGGTGCGACACTTTCCACGTCAGTGGGAAGCAGTTCCCCGACTCGATGCCCACCAGTTCACAATACAAGCCACTTGTGCTCTTGGTCGTGGTGCTGTCGCCGTTCCAATCGGCGTCGGGCCATATTCGAACTGCCAAATGCTCAAGGTCACTTGGGCTAAGCTGGCCAACCAGCTCAAGATCATGATGCTCCGCCACATACGACATGAAGCGAATCAACGCCACATCGTCTGTAACAGTCCATCTTGTCACCCGACTGCACATCCTCTGGATTGCAACCGACAAATCTGGCCGGCATACCAGTGAGGGATACAGGCCTGAGGCGACGTAGCTAGCGGCCGACGCCTGGAACACGCCTGGCTCGTCGTCCGCCGCGTTGTAGTCGCCATCTGCGGGGTGCGGCGCGGTCACCTTCCGCAGCGCCCCTTTGAACTCCAGCCTGAGCTTGTCCACCAGGTTGCGGAGGTACCCGCTCATGCTGGTGGCGACTGTTCGGACCTTCAGCGGCTCCGCGGGGTCTGCGCAGTCAAAATGGTAACGGGCGCCCAGGTAGCGCAGCACCTCCGCGTACGCCTCCTGGAACACAATGTGCTGCCCGAGCTCGTACCAGTGCTTCTTGGCGTTCGTCGGCGTTGCCGCGAGCAAGAAGTCGTCCACGTAGATCACCATAATGCTGCCATCGGTGTGCAGCCAGATGCTGTGCCAACCCTCGACCTTCCTCCATCCGGTCATCTCCACGATGAACACGGCGTCGGTGTGTGACTCCCAAATATTCCCACTCTTGGGATGTCCTGGGAGCGCGTACACCAGGGGGACAGCTGGTCGATGGTACTTTGGCTGCTTGCGCTCACGATCGTAAAACCAGCTGTCTGGCCACCAGTCCTTGGGAAGCTCAACAAGGTTCATGATGGCTGGGTCGGTCTCCATCGCTGCCTGGAGGTATGCCTGGTACGCGTCGCGGTAGGTGCAACTCATGTTGGTCAGCATCGCCACGGCAAATGCGCACCTGGCCGCAATCAGGCTCGCAGGGCTGTTGGAAACATCTTCAAAGATTTCGTATGCACTCCGACCCGTTATGGTCCATATGTTGCTTCCTTGGAAGACCGCCCTGGCTCTGCAACGCCATTTGTCCTCGGCCATCTCGCTGTTCTTGCAGCCCAGGATGACGAAGACGCGGCCTACAACGACGTCACTGTACGAGCCGTCGGCCATCCAGTCGCTCAGGCTGCGGACCTTGCTCATGTCCCAGGTGCCTCTGTTTCGGTGCCCCTCGAGCTCCGCCTCGATCGCCGCCTTGGCCTTGTCAGTCTTAGCCTCCTGCGACTTCATGTGTACGAGCCTAGTAATAAGGCAACACCACAACGGCATTTAAGGAGGGCCTGGAAGCAGCACGCGCTCCATGATGCGCTCCGGGAGCGTGCATGGCATCGCCTTGAGAGTACTTGGTTCCAGAGCCTTCCAAATCAGATTCGCCATCATCGGCGTGTATCTGGCGCTGGCAGCCGCAATCTTGCCGCGGCACTCCACGAAGCTCTGCTCTTGGATGCTATTGGGAGGGTCGGAGTAAAGCGCTAGTTCGATAGGGATCCCAGAGTGTGTCGTAGCGATCATCCACCTCTTCTTGATGAAGACTTGCTGCGTCGTGCCCTGGATGCTCTTGTCGAAAGACATCCCCACGGCAGCGGTGGAGACGTAAAAATCAACGGCCCCCCGTCGAGTCAGCATGTCAACAACCCCCGGGTCCTGCACCAACCAATCTCGTTCTGCGCACTCCCAAGAAAACGTGTTGTCCGTCCTGCTCACGTGTTCGCAAATCTGGATGGCTGCATCGATGAGCTTGCTGTTGAGGCTCCGGGGTCGTGCTGGTGATCCTCCGGGGGCACCCAGACATGCACGGGATGCTGATCCAAGCGTGCACCTCCACCTCGTGAAGGACGCAAAACCTGATCAAGCCATGAATCGCACGCTTTGTTGACTTCAGTAATAAGTCATCCCTGGCGGTGATGCGCACCGCAAGGCACTGCTCCTGGACAGCTGCGCTGAGTTCGCTGTCCGCGGAGCATCCCAACTCCAACAAGGCGAGGTGCGTCGCTGACGGGCGCAGCGCCATCGCAGGGCATGCTGGCTGAGGAATCCGATCGCTCAGCTCGAGGGTCGCGGTGTCCTTCTCCACGTCGCTCCCTGGCGGCCTGGGGCACTCGGCAATCGGAGTTATACCTCTCGCGACTGCTGCCAGGGGAGTGGCCGGTGCAACCGCGCCCTTTCGTTTGGCCTGTAACCAAGCAGACCGTCTGGCCTCCTGCGCCGCGAAGCCCGGAGCATCGACTCGCTCCCACTCTGCGCGGAGCTCCTTCTGAGCAGCTCTCCCGATGCCAACCCACGCCTCGGGTTCGCATGTTGGCGGGCGTCGTGACCATGGCGGCACGTGTACCAGGCGGACTCTGTCGCCGCGCCCGAACCTGTCGACCCGCCAGCCCGGGGGAGCAGTTCCCCCCTCGACGATCGCGATCTCAGGCTGGATGTCGTCGACGGCCTTCTGAGCCTCCACCACGTCGGCGCCCACTGGCTGGAAGTCGCCAGCCGGCGCAACGACCTCAAGCTGCACCTCGTCGCCGTGGATATCGGGCTCCAGAGCCAGCACGTGGCCCAGAGGCACGCTCGAGTCGAACTTGGCGGCGTTCTCCTTCCACATCCCGTCGAAAAACTCCGCCTCCGTGTCGACGTCGCCCTTCTCCTCCAGGATCTCCGAGGAACCGCTGTCGTCAACGACGTGGGGCATCGGCGGCGTCTTGTCGACCACGGCTCCGTGGATCGCCAGGCGCTGCTTGATGGGGAACGTGACGTCCTCTGGGAACACCACGTCGACCGTCCTTCGGATGGCCGCCTTGGAGGCTCGACTCTCCGAGGTGAACCTCGACAGAGGGGCGACCCCGTAGCTGGATGCCCATCTCCCCCCTGGCCCGATGGTGACCTCGATCAGCACGGCGGGCACGAGCCGCGACTGCAGCTTGTCATGCTGCGGTTCCGCTCCCTGCTGCGGCACTGGCCGGTGCGGGCGGAACAGCACGAGGGCGCCGAAGG